CTAGTTCAACCTCTGTGGAAAGCAATATGGAGATACCTTAAAGCAATACAAGTGAATCTACCATTTGATCCAGCAATCCCACTCCTAGGCATCTACCCAAAAGATCCAATGACACTCTACAAGAAAGAGCACTGTACTCAATGTCTTCTTGCAACACATCATATTGAAGGGGCTGTGGAAACAGCCCTAGTGTCCATCAATCCAAGAATGGATTAATAAAATGTGGTATATGTATACAATGGAGTACTATTCAGCTCTAAGAAACAATGGTGACATAGCACATCTTATATTTTCCTGGTTAGAGCTGGAACCTATACCATTAAGTGAAGTTTCCCAAGAATGGAAAAACAAGCACCACATATACTCACCAGAAAATTGGTATTAACTGAATAGCACCTAAGTGGTCACATAGGTACTACAGTAATAGGGTATTGGGCAGGTGGAAGGGGGTCGGGGTCGGGTATATACATACATAATGAGTGAGATGTGCACCATCTGGGAGATGGTCATGCTGGAGACTCAGACTTTTGGGGGGAGGGGGGGAAATGGGCATTTATTGAAACCTTAAAATCTGTACCCCCATAATATGCCGAAAAAAAAAAAAGAAAAAAGAAAAAGAAAGAAATACAAGGAGATATTATTGCATACTCACAAAATGGTTAAAATGAAAAAAGATTGAATGCACTAAGTCGTGTCAAGAATGTGAAGCAGCTGGCACTCTCATAGTAAAATTACAAATTGATTAAGCCATTTGGACAATTCTTTGGCAGTAGTTAATGAAATAGTACACATGCATGTCTAGCAATTATGCTTATAGGTGTACTGAACAGAAATCCTTTCATTGGGATAACAATGTATTAGAATAATCACAGCGCTGTTGACAACAGCTACAAACAGGAGTCAACACATATGTTGATAACAATACATTGAAGAAAATAAGTTCAGAAATATTTGTAAAACACTATAAAGAAAGCATTGTTTCCCTTCTATATGAAACAACATAAATGTACCTCAGAAACACAATATTAAGTGGAAAAACTAGATACTAAAAAAATACTGTATGTTTCCATTTATATTAAGTTCATAACCAGGCAAAACTAGCCTATGTTCTGATACTGAATATATCTAGAGAGGGGGAATTTAGTGAGGAGGAGGGGACACAAGGGGGCTTCTGGGGCCTGGAAAAATTGTTGTTTTTTTTAATCTGTGTGTTGATTACACAGACATTTTCATTTTGTGATGACTTGAGCTATATGTTTCGGATGTGCACAATTTCTCCATGTATATTATGCTCCAGTGGAAATTTTTACTTAAAAAGAAATTGTTTTAGTTCATACTTCTACCCAAGCTGAGGTCTGCAATACTCTGTCATTGTGGAGGCTTAAATCAGATGCCCCTTGACCATCCATTTGGGCACTGATGGGAAATCCCTTTGCTGTGGGAATCACTGAACTGGGAATTGAAACCTACATTTTATTATAGAACACGGTCTCATCCCTGCATTGATGACACTTAACTTCACTGGGTCACCAATTGCTCATTCTGAAAAATAAAGTAGGGTTTAGCCTAGTGGATCTCTGAGGTCCCTTCTGTCCCCAGTATCTATGATTCTTTCACTGTATAAAGAAAAAAAGCCTGAAGGAGCCTCAGCATTTCTCCTTTTGGAGAAACAGAACAGGGACCCATTTCTCAAGAAATAAAATGATTGCTTTTAAGAGAGACAATGAGTTCATTTCATCCAAAATAAACTAGTGTGATTGTTTTAGAGCCCATAGCTGCATGAGTCTAGCAGTAAAATAACTGCTTCTCTTTGTCCCAGATAAAGGGTTCACCAAGACAAAACACACTCAGTGCTAACGGTTACAAAACCAATCTCTGACCCTCATTTTAATCCATCTGTGCTGTAATTATTGACTCAATGTTTATTTGAAGGTCACTGGTTAGGCTGAATCACGAAATACTGAGTAAGAGTACACAGTAAGTAAATGTTGTTGAATCTGGTTGTATTGAATTTCTTGCTTGGAGGAAGCATGCAAGAGTCAGGGGATACAGATTCCAGCCTTAGATCTATCACCTGCAATCTGTGTGCCCTTGGTCAAGCAACTGAATTTCTAAGGCCAAACTTCCTCATCCCTCAAATGGCAATAATTTTACCTTGAGGAAAGGGTAATTGAGAAAATCAAAAGGGATACTGTAGGTATGAAAATTCTCTGTAAATTTCAAAGTCCCTGTAAACATGACCTATGAAACTGTGTCTCTGGAGTCGAGAAAACTTAATTTCTCCTGTGTGTGGGAGAGTTTTTCCGATGTTATTCTAGATTTTTTATTATTTCATGCCTTACATTTAAGTCTGTAATTCATCTTGAATTAATTTTTGTATATGGTGAAAATATGAGTCCTATTTCACTCTTCTGAATATGGCTATCAAATTTCCTGGCATCATTTATTGAACAGGGTGCCGTTTCTCCAGTGCATGTTTCTGTCTGCTTTGTGAAAGATCAGTTGGTCATAGATATATGATTTTATTCCTGGATTTTTTATTATCTTCTGTCAGTCTCTGTGTCTACTTTTATCCCAGTACCATGCTGTTTGTGTTGCTATAGTCTTGTAGTGTCATTTGAAGTCAGGTAATGTGATGCCTCCAGATTTGTACTTTTTGCTTCTAATTGCTTTTTTAATTTTTATTTTTATTTCAGGAAATTATGGGAGTACAAACATTTTGGTTACATTTTATGTCTTTGCCTCACCCAAGCAAGGGTTAGAGGCTTGCCCTTCTCCTGTACAATGCTCTCCATGTCCATTAGTTGTGAGTTTATCCCCCCAAACCCCCTAATCCCTGGAGAATATTCCTATTTTGTGGGTACCATAATGTTGATCAGTTAGTGCAAATTTGATGGTGAGTACACGTGGAGCCTATTCTTCCGATCTTGTTATACCTCACTTTGGATAATGGGCTCAAGCTCAATCCAGGAAAATAAAAGAGGTGCTAGATCACTGTCGTTTCTTATAATTGACTAGTATTTCATTGTATATATATATGCCACATTTTAATAATCAACTCATGAATTGACAGGCACTTGGGTTGTTTCCACATCCTTGCAATAGTTAATTGTGCTGCCATAAACATTTGGTTGCAGGTGTCTTTATTACAGAATTGTCTTTTGTTCTTTTGAGTAGATGCCTAATAGTGCTACTGCCAGATTGAATGGTATTTCTATTTTTAGTTCTTTGAGGTATCTCCAAATTCTTTTCCACAGAAGTTGCACTAATTTGCAGTCCCACCAGCAGTGTAAGAGTGTTCCTGTCTTTCCACATCCTCGCCAGCATTTGTTGTTTGGGGATTTCTTGATAGAAATCAAGATAGAAAGATTTCTATCAAGATTTCTTGATAGAAATCTTGGGTTAGGTGATATCTCATTGTGGTTCTGATTTGCATTTCTCTAATGATTAGAGAGGTTGAGCATTCTTTTATATGTTTGCTGGTCATTATTCTGTCTTCTTAGGAAAAGTTTCTGTTCATTTATTTTGCCTATTTATTGATGGGGTTGTTTGATTTTTTCTTGTTCATTTTTTTAAGCTCTAGATAGATTCTTGTTACCAGCCCTTTATCATATGTGTGGAGAGCAAATATTTCCTCCCTTCTGTAGGTTGTCTATTTGCTCTAATGATAGTTTCCTTGGCTGTGCAAAAGCGCTTTAATTTGATCAGATCCCATTTATTTATTTTTGTTGCTGTTGTGATTGCTTTTGCAACTGAGTCTTGACATATTTTTCTTAATAAAAGAGCTGGAAATAACTGCACTAGTCATTTTAGAACAAACATGATGCTATCTTTACAGAACATGCCTTTGCAAAAACATTGTCATTTGTGATCTGGTAATATATATCATTCTGGTTGTATTTAGATTCTCTTAAGCACTGAATGTCAGCTCTTGTTCAGGTCTGAACTTTGTGGTGGGTCTGTGGTGTGGGTGCATGTAATGATTTCCTTACCTCCCAACCTTTATTGCGCCCAAAGCACTGTTCTGTCTGTAATTTCTCTTCCTTGCTGTGCATTATTTCATTCTATTATTTCTGAAAATGACAGACCAAAATGCCAGAAGTAGCTGTGTCTGGAAGGGGACTGGAAAGTGAAGATGTCATAGTTTCTCAAGCCCTTCCCACTAAATGTCTGAGATTGTTCTTCTGTAAGTTGCACTGAGTAACTTTTATCTTTGCTATGATGGAGAGGGTAAGAACGCTATCTTTTATTTCTTCCCTTAAGCACCTCTGGTCCTGTTATCCTTGGAGTCAAATAAGAGACTTCAATTTCATGTGAAGCCTGTTGCATTCCTAGCAGAGTCTATGTGGTGTACACTCAGAATAACAAATGTTTGCCGGTGTGTTTTGTTTTCCTAAAATTGTTCTCAAGGCAGCTCTGGTTTAAATAATAATGCACCACAACGGAAATCAGGAAGGTCTTAGCTCAAATAACATTTCTACCACCTGTGAGCTGTGAGAACTGGCAGATCTCCTATTCTCCCAAAGCCTCTCTTTCTTCATTTGAAAGTAAAAAATTATATTAATAACTCTTGCTTTCAAGTGGTTTTTAAAAGAGAGTTTAAGGTTAAAAACATACATTTGCTGAGCCAATTACTCGATGTATGTTTCCTCATTCAAGGTATATGAGTTATGTTAGCTATTTTATCTTTAGGCTGTTCTATGGCTAGCAGAGCATATTAACTATTTGAAATGATTTCATTATCAAGGATAAAGTCCGCTAATCTTTGATAAAACATTATATCATTTTTTTATATACAAGGCATAGAATACATTGATTTCTCTCAGAGCCATAACTTTTCATTAGTCTATCCCTCCAGTATTTTGAGTAATTTTTTAGAGCAAATCATTTACTTTAGTATTTCTCAATCATGGCTGCACCTCGGAACCACTTGTTTTATTTGTTTTAACTACCAATACCTGGACCCCAACATAGTAGAATTAAGCCAGAATCTACAGGGAGGGTACTACAGTAAAGGAGAACAAGCCAAAGAACATTTTATTTTTATCTCTATCAATAGGCCAAATTCCACTCAAAAGAGAGCATAAAGTGCATCTAACTGATTGGCCACACACCGCATTAGCAGGGAGTGTTATAAAAGCCTTGGAGTCCAAGCTCACAGTTGTCTTGGTAAGAAGAGAAGGCTGCAATGGACCCAGCTGTGGTTCTGGTGCTCTGTCTCTCCTGTTTGCTTCTCCTCTTCCTCTGGAGACACAGCCCTGGGAGAGGGAAGTTCCCTCCTGGCCCAACTCCTCTCCCAATTATTGGAAATATCCTGCAGGTGGATGCTAAGGACATTGGCAAATCCTTTACCAATGTAAGTATGTTTTACACTCCTCCAGTGGCTTGCAATTGGTAAGTAAACTCACCCCTATTTTTAGATAAAATATATTCCCAGAGGCACACTATCAGAGTGGATCATTGTGCAGCAAAATACTTCAACGTTTCTCTTGCCTTTTCCAGTCTGTCATTGCCAGAAATAGTGAAATGAAATAATGTACTTTGTGAGGAGAGAAACATTTAGGACTTTGTGTAATAGAATCAAAATGATAAAGTGGCAAAATTTTGGAGTTCTGTGTCCCTTCTTTGTTTTGTAGCCATTTGCTTTGATTTTTGTATCAAGGTAAATAGTAAGGGAAGTGTGTGATTAGAGATTTCATTCAGTGAGTCATCTACTCTATTGGCCATATGTTTTGTTTTATTTATTTATTTATTTGTTTGTTTGAGACAGAGTCTCGCTCTGTTGCCTGGACTAGAGTGCCACGGTGTCAGCCTACCTCACAGCAACCTCAAACTCCTGGGCTCAAGAGATCCTCCTGCCTCAGCCTCCCAAGTAGCTGGGAATACAGGCATGCACCATAATGCCTGGCTAATTCTTTCTATATATTTTTAGTTTTCCAGACAATTTCTTTCTAGTTTTAGTAGAAACAGGGCCTCAATCTTGCTCAAGCTGGTCTGGAACTCCTTATCTCAAACGATTCCTCCTCCTCGGCTTCCCAGAATGCTAGCATTACAGACATGAACCACCGTGCCTTGCCACCATGTGTTTTATTTAGAATAGTCATGAAAGTTTAACTTCTCTGAAGAATCATTTTATGCCTGGAAATCATTTTATGTCAAGGAAATATGTGTTCAGGAAATGAATGAAAGAAAGAAGAAATCAGTCAAAGCCAAATTGGTGGTGCCAGATTCAATTCAATTCTGCACAAAGCTTCTGTTCATGGCCAAGAATGCTGGTAGATGGAAGAAATTGTTCTTCCAGGAGATGTCACACATTCTGGGGCTGCCTCTGTGGTTTGCACTCTCTCTGGGTTAGCAATACCAGCAGGTCTCAAACTTGGGTGGGCATTAGAATCACTTGGGGTGGCTTTTAAAAATATAGCTCTCTAATGTTTATCACATGGCTGTGTGGTCAGGATCCCCACGAGAAGACCTTCAGAGGTGATCCTGAAATAGGCAGGAGGGTATTGGTCTCAAAGTGGACATGTGGGTGCTAAATTTGCTCAAGCATCAGCATTCAAATAAGCAAAATTTCAAATTTGGTCTTTTTTATATTAGTTGTGGAACACTGGAAATGAATTTGGAATTCTCTGAACTCTGTTTCTAGTTTAAAACAGACCAAATAAACTTGCTGAATGTGTTGATGTGAGGATTAATTGTACTCTGTGTACAAATTGGCTGGTCCAAAGTCTCGCATAACATGGTCCATTTGTAAGTGGAAGCTGTAACAATCACCATCATATTTATTCATAAAATTCAGAAATATTTGAAGCTGTGTGTGGCATAATAAAAACATTAACAATATAATGATAACATCAGCCCTGATTAGGCACAATATATATGGAAGAAATGACTTCATCTGCTATTTTCCATATTTTCTTTCTTAGTTCTCAAAAGTGTACGGCCCGGTGTTCACTGTGTATCTTGGCACGAAGCCCGCTGTGGTGCTGCATGGATATGAGGCGGTGAAGGAAGCCCTGATTGATCATGGAGAGGCGTTTTCTGGAAGAGGCCATTTCCCAGTGGCTGAAAGAATTAATAAAGGGCTTGGTAGGTGGGCCTGTGCCTGAGTCAGCAGTGGTAAAGGGGGTGGGGAGGATGGCCAACAGAGTCTTAAAGAGCTCCTAGGGCAGAGCTTAGCCTCCCACATGGCTGTGGAGTGTCAGCTCCCTCCTTGCCTGGGATTTCCCTCCTAGTTTTTGTTTCCCATTCTGGTAGGAATCATTTTCAGCAATGGAGATAGATGGAAGGAGATTCGGCGCTTCACCCTCATGACCCTGCGGAATTTCGGGATGGGGAAGAGGAGCATTGAGGAACGTGTCCAAGAGGAGGCCCTCTGCCTTGTGGAGGAGTTGAGAAAAACTGAGGGTGGGTGACTCTACTCTGTATCACTGACCTTAGCAGACTACTATCTTCTCTAATGATGTCCTGGGAAACATTTAGGAGTAGCCAGATCTTTCATTATGGGTCCTTGTTGTCAGCCCTGCGGTGGAGGATGTTTGAAGTGGAGAGCCCAGGGAGCTTGTGTGCATCTGTGCTGTGTGTACAGGCATGATTGCGCATACAGCATGGCCATAAAAGATCACTTAATCATGTCAGCTGTGATTTTTGAGAATTGTTCGGGTCTGTCCCTGTGAGTGGAGATGACCTGGAGTTTAAAGACAGAGTATAGAAAGTATAGTATACTCTTAGGCCTGATGCGGTGGCTCACGCCTGTAATCCTAGCACTCTGGGAGGCCAAAGTGGTCGGATTACTCGAGGTCAGGAGTTCAAAACCAGCCAGAGCAAGAGTGAGGCCCGTCTCTACTAAAAAATAGAAAGAAATTAATTTGCCAACTAATATATATAGAAAAAATTAGTTGGGCATGGTGGCGCATGCCTGTAGTCCCAGCTACTCGGGAGGCTGAGGCAGCAGGATTGCTTGAGCCCAGGAGTTTGAGGTTGCTGTGAGCTGGGCTGACGCCACGGCACTCACTCTAGCTTGGGCATCAAAGTGAGACTCTGTCAAAAGAAAGAAAGAAAGAAAGAAAGAAAGAAAGAAAGAAAGAAAGAAAGAAAGAAAGAAAGAAAGAAAGAAAGAAAGGCAGGAAGGAAGGAAACTATAGTACACTCTTAAGGTCAGTAGAGAGAGGACTGATCCAATAAGGAACAGTGTTATCCCAGGCTTAGGGTCTGTCCTTTATGATACTCCCTAATATGTTAAGTTTGGGATGGCATATTCATGTCTTCTTGGGAAGTGGGTGGGGATTCTCAGAATCATGTACCCTCCCATTTTCTGTCCTTGTATGTCTGGCTCTCAAACTGTCATGGCACTAGAAGGTCTGAGTTTTACTGTATCAGTGAGGGAAAGGACACATTTGGTCATAAGCTCCTAGCTTCTGCACATGCTGCAGTTGGGAAAAGTCCCCAACCTCAAGTTGTTTTTGTTGTGGTGTCTTTTCTCTGTTTTTATTGGTCCTGATCCTTGGCCCTTGACTACAACCCCCTATTGCCTTCCCTGCCACTTGCACGTCTAACCACCTGCCTGCCACCTGCATACCTTCATCCCTACCTAACAAATCCCATTGTCTCCCAAACATTGTTTCTTTGTTTTCAAATCGGAAATCCTGAATACAGGCTTTGAGTTCATTTTCATAATGAATTAAAGAGCAATGTTTTCCCCATAGCATAAATGTGAGTTACCTCCTCCAGAACATTTCACCAGAGAGTACTTGGCAAATAGAGATCATAGGAATGACACCACTGGACCCTTATGGATTGTGAATCATGTGACCTGTGCTTTCCCTGGACTGCACTATGTTTGTACAGTCAGCCTCACTGACATATCTGTGGGTTTCTTTCCAGGCCATGCTATATTTCTGGATAGTGATGGGCATATGTATAGTTTTAATTGCTTAGGTGTAACTTAGTATAATTTTTATCAATTATTATTTCTCTATAACCACTACACTATTTAGAAATGTCAGCATTAATTATTTATTTTTTATATTTCAGCATATAATGGGGGTACAAATGTTTAGGTTATGTAGGTTGCCTTGGCCCCTCAGGCCCCCCATAGTCAGAGCTTCAAGTGTGTCCATCCCCCAGATGGTGTGCATGGTGCTCATTATGTATGTATATACCCATCCCCTTGTCCTCCCTCCCATCTGCCTGATGCCCAGTAAATGTTATTCCTATATGTGCACGTAGGTGTTGCTTGGTGAAACCAGTTTGCTGGTGAGTACATGTGGTGCTCATTTTTCTATTCTTCGGATACTTCACTTAGTAGAATGGGTTCCAACTCTATCCAGGAAAATACAAGGCGCATATATCACCACTGTTTCTTATAGCTGAATAGTACTCCATCGTATACATATATCACATTTTATTAATCTACTCATGTATTGATGGAGACTTTGGTTGTTTCCACATCTTCACAATTGTGAATTGTGCTGCTATAAACATTCGAGTGCAGATATCTTTCTATAGGATTTCTTTTGTTCTTTTGGTACTCCCAGTCATGGGAGTGCTGGATCAAATGATAGATCTATTTGTATCGCTTTAAGGTATCTCAATATTGCTTTCCACTGAGGTTGTACTAGTTTGGAGTCCCACCAGAGGTAAATGAGGGTTCCTATCTCTTCACGTCCATGCCAACATTTTGGGACTTTTTGATAAAGGCTATTCTCACTGGAGATAAGTGACATCTTATAGTGGTTTTGATTTGCTTTTCCCTGATGATTATAGTTGTTCAGTATGTTTTCATATGTTTGTTGGCCATTATTCTATCTTCTTTTGAAAAATTTCTGTTCATGCTCTTTGTCAACTTTTGGATAGGGTTGTTTGATTTTATTTTTTTGCTGATTTTCCTGAGTTCTAAATAGATTCTAGCTATCTGCCTTTTATAGGATGTGTAGCTTGCAAACATTTTCTCCCTTTCTGTAGGCTGTCTGTTTGCTCTCGTGACAGTTTCTTTGGCTGTACAGAAGCTTTTTAATTCGATCAGGTCCCATTTATTTATTTTTGTTGCTGCTGTGATTATCTTTGGGTCTTATTCATAAATTCTTTGCCTATACCAGTGTCTAGAAGAGTATTTACATGGTTTTCCTCTAGAATTCTAATAGTTTCACACCTTAAGTCTGTTATCCAGCATGAGTTGATTTTTGTGAGAGGTGAAAGTGTGGATCCTGTTTCAGTTTTCTATATGTGGTTATCCAGTTTTCCCAGTACCATTTATTGAATAAGGATTCTTTCCTCCGGTGTATGTTTTTGTCCACTTTGTCAAAGATTAGACAGCTATATTAGGATGGTTTTATATCCATCTGTTCTATTCCACTGGTCAATGTCCTTGTTCATGTGCAAGTACCAAGCTGTTTTAGTCACTATAGCCTTGTAGTATAGTTTGAAGTCTGGTAAATTGATATCTCCTATTTTGTTTTTATTGCCTAGGATTGCTTTTGCTATACAGGGTCTTTCTGGTTCCATATGAAGCATAAAATTATTTTTTCTGTATCTGTAAAAAATGATGATGGTATTTTAATAGGGATTGCATTGACTCTGTAGATCACTTGGGTAATATAGACATTTTAACAATGTTGATTCTGCCAATCCATGAGCATGGTATGATTTTCTATCTGTTTATGCCCTCTTCTATTTACTTCCTCAGTGTTTCATAGTTCTCCCTGTAGAGGTCTTTTACCTCCTTAGTTAAATATATTCCTAGGTACTTTATTTTCTTTGTTGCTATTGTGAAGGGAATTGAGTCTTTGATTTGGTTATCAGTTTGGCTGTTATTGGCATATATGAATGCCTCTGATTTGCGTGTATTGATTTTGTATCCTGAGACTTTACTGAATTTATTTATCAATTCAAGAAATCTATTGGTTGAATCCTTAGGGTTTTCAAGGTATAATATCATATCATCAGGAAAGAGTGAGAGTTTGATCTCTTCTGCCCCTATGTGGATGCCCTTACTTTGCTCTTTTGTCTGATTGCTATAGCAAGGATTTTCAGCACTATGTTGAATAGAAGTGGAGATAGTGGGCAACCTTGTCTTGTTCCAGTTCTAAGTGGGAATCCTTTCCATTTTTCCCCATGCAGTATGATGTTGGCTGTGGGTTTGTCACATATGGCTTGCATTATTTTCAGGCAAGCCCAATCTATGCCTAGTTTGTTAAGCATTCTTTTCATAAAGGGTGTTGAATTTTGTCAAATGCTTTTTCTTCATCTATTGAGAGGATCATATGGTCTTTGTTTTAGCTTCTGTTTAGGTGATTATAGATTTGCATATATTGAACCATCCCTGCAGCTCTGAGATGAAGCCCAGTTGGTCATGATGGGTTATTGTCTTGATAAGCACCTAGGTTCAGTTAGTTAGGATTGTGTTGAGAATTTCTGCATCTATATTCATAAGGGATATTGGTCTGTAGTTTTCTTTTTTTGTTGTGTTCTTTCCTGATTTTGGTATCAGGGTTATGTTGGCTTCATAAAATGTGTTGGGGTGGATTACATCCTTCTCAATGTTGTGGAATAATTGCTTCAGGGTAGGCCCCAGTTCTTCTTTGTAGGTGTGGTAAAATTCGGGTGTGAAACCATTTGGTGTGGGACTTTTCTTTTAGGAAGGTTTTTCATCACTCTTTCAATTACAGTACTTGATATTAGTCTGTTCAGGAATTCTATTTCTTCCTGGTTGAGCCTAGGGAAGCTGTGTGTTTCTAAGAATTTGTCTATTTCCTCCACATTTTCCAGTTTGTGTACATAAAGATTTTTGTAGTATTCATAAATTATGTCTTGTATCTCTGTGGCATCTGTTGTGATTTCTCCTTTATTTTCCTGATGGAGCTTATTAGAGATTTTTCTTTTCTGCTTTTTGATAGTCTAGCCAAAGGTGCATCAATATTGTTTATTTTGTCAAAAAACCAAATTTTTGTTGTATTAATCTTCTGTATAGTTTTCCTGTTGTCAATTTCATTTAGTGCTGATTTGATCTTATTGATCTCACTTCTTCTGCTAGGTTTAGAGTTGGTGTGTTCTTCTTTTTCCAGGTCTCTGAGTTGATTCATTAGGTTGTCTATTTGAGATCTTTTAGACTTTTGGATATAGGCATTTATGAATATAAACTTTCCGTTCAAGACTGCTTTAGCTGTGTCCCACAGATTTTGATAACATGTGTCTCCTTTGTCATTTGATTCAAAGAATTTTTTGATTTCCTAGTTTATAAAGTTGTTGTTCAGCATAAGGTTGTTTAGGTTCCACAACTTTGTGTATAAGAGTTTTTATTAGAGTTGATTTCTACTTTTATTCCATGGTGATCTGAGAAGATACATGGTATAATTTTATTTTTAAAAGTTTTTTTGAGACATGCTTTATGTCCTATAATATGATCAATC